GAAAACTAAGACTTAATTAAGTAGGTTAATCCCAGAGTTTCTGAACTTCTCAAAGGTAAAACTAGGGATCCAGCCTGGAACTTTTGGCTCTGAAGCTCTTTTTCCTCAACCCCATGTTCATGCTGAAGAATCTCTAAAGAAATATGAATAAAACAATCACACAGCAGAAGAAGAAGTCTTTAGAGATAAGGTAAATGTGTTAGTTCTTGATTTATTGCCTCTCAGCTCCAAATTTACCCATCATTCCTGTTCTGTGAAACTGGATCTGGGCCCATTAAATGATTATCCTTTGCCACTGCTGAAGCGACACTGCAGGAGAGTTTTGCTTCCTGGTTGGCGTCTGCTTGCTCAGCAGGCTTCTTTAGCATACACCTGCCTTTCCCAGTGCCTGGCTCCTGCAGTGCACAGTGGCCAGCAGCCTCCCCCCAGCACTCCACTGGGGCAGATTCATGGTAGAGTGCTTCTCAGGAGACACTTCCCAGTGAACAGCACTCTAGAGGGTGGATCTCTGGCAAGCTCTGCTGGCAAGAAACCATAGCAACTTCTCTGGCATCCAGTGAGTAACAGTTATATCCTCTTTAACAAGGTCTGGATTACAGCCCTGGGGCTCTTTCTTGGGTGGAACACTAGGCGATGTGACTGCTTCTTGTATCTGTTATTCATATATGTATATATGAATATATATTTGAATATATTTTCAAAATATATGTTTTCAAAATATATTTTGAGACAGGGTCCCACTCTGTTGCCCAGGCTGGAGGGCAGTGGCATAATCACGCCTCACTGCAGCCTCGATCCCCCGGGCTCAAGCAATCCTCCCACCTCAGCCTCCTGAGTAGCTGGGTCTCTAGGTGCATGCCACTGCACCTCGCTAACTTTTTGTATTTTTAGTAGAGATGGGATTTTGCAACGTTGCTCAGGCTGGTCTCCATCTGGGTTCAAGTGATCCACCTGCTTCGGTCTCTCAAACGGCTGGGATTGCAGGTGTGAGCCATGACACCCGGCCCCTATATTCTTTAGAACTCTCTTTTTTCCTTTTTTCCCTATTATTCCCATGAGCTCTCTTTATTTCTTATAAGCCAAACCAAAAATCATAGTTACTCCATCCTACTTACTCCAATCCTAATTATAGTTATTCTTCAAATTTTCCCTGGTTTAAATCTATGCTTTTTTTCCTTCTGATTAAACCCTGACTGATACAGTAAACATAATAAGAATATTCGGCTTACAAGATAAGAGTAGATAGGGAATAGAAATAAAACCCATAAAACTATGAAGAGTACGGAAACTGTGAACAATGACATTCTCTAAAACCTAGTTTATAATTATGGGTCCTAACTTTGAAACGCGAAGAGTAGCTAGCTAGCTACTAAGAGAAATAAAAGTACTTCTTTATGTCTTTCTTTTCTTGTACTTGTTGCTACAAGGGTAATACAAGGCAAAAATACAGATTGTTTCAAGATCGATTTGGATAAATTCAAGGATGACAAATCTAAAAATAAGGGAAGCAGAATTTCTTAGGCTACATATCATAAACTGTGTCATATAATGGGTACCAAACTTAATATCACATTAAATACTTCCTACAGGTCAGTGTCATTCAGAAATGTACTGTTTCTCAAACTGGGGTCCTGTTGTTTACATGATTTTTAAAAATTTATGCTTTTACTCAGGTAACTTAAAAAAATATATACAGTCTGATCATCTGTCCAATTGATTATCACAAAGCTGGGTTTTACTACATAATTTCAGTGCTCCATTTTACAGGTGTATTTCAGAGCACACTGATATCAGGTAGCACCAGCTTATTTGATAAGGGCTAATTACATGAGCCAGTTGAACTGCTAAATAAATATGCTAGTGACATGTAAAAGCCAAGTGTCATCATGGCACACTGAAGAAGCAGTGAGTGAAGTAAATCATGGTTATCCCTAATGCAAAAGGGATCAATCAGTACCATATGTATATTGCCCACTTAATTTCAGAAAAACATCATTCTTCACAATAATTTCCGTGTTCTTGATTTTAAAGCTTTATTTACTTATTTATTTTTGAGACAGGGTCTTGCTCTGTCACTCAGGTTGGAGTGGTGTTGTGTTCAAGGCTCACTGCAGCTCTGACCTCTCGGGCTCTAGCGATCTTCCCACCTCAGCCCCCCCAAGTAGCTGGGGCTATAGTGCCACCATGCCTGACTAACTTTTGTATTTTTATAGAGAATGGGTTTCACCATGTTCCCCAGGCTAGTCTTAAACTCCAGGACTCAAGCGATCTGCCCGCCTTGGCCTCCCAGAGTGCTGGGATTATAGGCATGAGCCACCTTGCCAGGCTAGTATTTAGTATTTGAGGAGCAAAAGCATTTAGGTGGCTACTGCAAAAGTCCAGGGACATCATAATAAGGGCTTAGTCAATGGAGGTGCCCTAGAAATGTAAATCAAGAGAAAGAAGGGTAACATGGTGGGGGAAGGTTGAAAGTGGCTTTATTATTTACGTAAATTTGTCACTTCTTGTTTTGCTTTTATAAATGAACAAGGGATAAAGAATGTTTAAGCCTATTTTTCTGTAATGTTTGTAAAAATAATACAACTAACTCAGAATCTACTCTACATATATAGATATATTTCATTTAAAGGAGAGACTCTGGAGTAGATGGCCAATGGATTTCATGTTAGGCTTATTCTTATATTCTGATGTTTATGTCTAATGCTCATCTGGACCTGCCTATATTGTCAGGTGAAAGTAGACAAAGGCTCTGCTTATGTTTCTCCTAATGGCTTGACAGGGATCATCTTACATATATGACAAAGGACAATTTATTTGTTGGGCAAAGATGTATGACACCAATAAGTTCATTCTGGTTTCATTACAAACTGTTGCTTTTCTGTGTGCAGAAAAGGCTAAAATATAATAAAATTTTATTATCTGTATCAAATATAGTAAAATTATTTTTCAGGTTCTTATGTAATGATTAATTGCTTGGTGATATTACTTTTGAAGAGAGTCAAATTATGCATAAATTAACTTTATAGATCAGATAAAATAATCAGTGGCTTAAGAAGCTATGGTAGGCCAGGTATAGTGGCTTATGCTTGTATCCCAGCACTTTGGAAGGCCAAGGTGGGTGGATCACCTGAGGTCAGGAGGTCAAGACCAGCCTGGCCAACATGATAAAATCCCTGTCTCTACTAAAATTACAAAAATTAGCTGGATGTGTCTCCTTGAACCCAGGAGGTGGAGGTTGCAGTGAGTGGAGATAACAGCACTGCATCCAGCCTGGGCAACAGAGTGAGACTCTTTCTCAAAAAAAAAAATAAAATAAAATAAATAAAAGAAACTATGGTAGGCATTGTCTGTTCCCTATAATAATGGGATTCTCTCTGTGGTATCTTTTACTCTTAAAAAATATATATCTTGAAGTCAATGAATTGAACATAAGTTATAGGGAATGAATTTAAAAAATTTAATTAAAACTAAGAAAAAATGCCATTTAATATAGATCTTAGGTAATTATGACAATAAAGTTATTCAGCATAATTGGAAATGAATTGTTAGGATCTCTCAGGGTAGGCTGGGCGTGGTGGCTCACACCTGTAATCCCAGCACTTTGGGAGACCGAGGTGTGTGGATTGCTTGAGGTCAGAAGTTCGAGACTAGCTTGGCCAACATGGTGAAACCCCCATCTCTACTAAAAATAAAAAAAAAAAAAAAAAAAAAAATGTCTCAGGGTATTCTCTTTGGTATTATATTACGCAAAAGTCAAATAAATAAAAATTATCTTTGGTATATTCGGCAAAAAATATTCTCTTTGGTATTATAGTAGGCAAAAAATAAATAAAAATTCCACTGTCCCAGAAGATAGCAACACAATAGTAGCATGACTTACCTTTTAAAGGCTGCCAATTGCATTACCAAATGTTATGCAGTATCTGTGTTTTTGTACTTATTTTAGCCAAAAGGCCAAGAAACAATTATGTGTTTTCAGATTAAGAAAATAATTTGAGGACCTGCAGTTGTCTCTTGGCAGCAAAGAATGGCATTAAAGACAGAACGACTCAGACATTAAGTAGATTCTCCAAATTTAAAAAGTGATAGCTAAATTTTTTGAACATTATTAAAAATATTTCTGCAAGTTCTCTATGATTGGATTTTTAGGCACAGGCTATGATTACCCTTATTTTTCATTTCTGAAAATGTTCACATGATGCTGTTGATATAATCCCAAGGGAAGGGAAAGCCAATCTTTCTTAAATAGACACTCTTTTCTAGGCTGTGGTTAGCAACTGTTTAGTTCTTCAATAAGAAGCCCTGTTATTAATAATATAAGAAATACTGACATCTACATGACTTTTATATGGAACAAACATGTGACTCACCATAATATTATGTATGGCTAAAATGCAATTGTTATAGGCCATTAAACAATGTGGATATGGTCCAGATCAGGCTAAATATATACAAAGAACACTAACAGATTATTACTTGCAATTTTTTTGGCATTGTTTTTTTGAGACCCACTCTGTTACCCAGGCTGGAGTGCAGTGGCATGAGTTTGGCTCACTGTATTCTTAACCTGCTGGGCTCATGCAATCTTCCTACCTCAGCCTCCCAAGGCGGGACTACAAGCACACACTAACATGTCTAGCTAGTTTTTCTATTTTTTTTTTTGTTGTAGAGATGGTGTTTTGCTGTGTTGCCCAGTGCTCTAGAACTCTTAGCCTTAAGTAAACCTCCCGCCTCAGCCTCCCAAAGTATTGGGATTACAGGAATGAGTCCTGCACATGGTCACTTGTAGTAATATTCTTGGAACAGCCACCATCACCACCACATTTAAAGACTTTAAAAAAAGATACTTCCACTCTCTTGGAGTACAGAGTTGCTAGCTCAACCAAAAATCAATGCAGCCCCCCAAAATAATAAGTCTTAGTTAAGTCTTTGAAATGCTGGTGGAGCTGGTGGGTAAAAACAGTAATGCTTTACTTCAATGGATGTCAGTGAAAACTCACCTCTCCACTGTTACTTTTGATTGGTGTGAGGTAACCACATGTGGGCTGGCAACTGGCTCTCCATTTCCCGGAGCGTTTGTTGTACATGGAAGCGCAGATACCTCTGGGCATAGCAAAGGAGACAGAACGAAGGGTTACTAACATTCTTTTATCAGACCTAAACTCCAAGAGCCAGAATGTCTTGATTTATGTCTTGGCTCTGCCACTTACCCGTTGTGAGACCTTGGGCACATCACTTAAACTCTCTGTGCCTTAGTTTCCTCATTAGTAACAGTACCTATTTCAGAGGCTGTTAGAATTAAATGTATTAACATTAACACAAGCAAAGGACTTAGAACTGTGCGTGGCATGTTGTAAGTGCTAAAATAAGTATTATTAGTGTTTCTTGCACTAAAGTTACAGAAAGTATATAATATTGAAACCAAAGCCACTGATAAAGATAGCAGTATGCTGACTTGATCAAGCTGACACTAAATATCTTTACGAAGGATTCAGAGCAAATCACCATGGAACACCATAAGTATTAAAAATATTTTTGAAAACTCAGTTTAGTCCTATGCACACTTAGAATGATGAGGATTTCACAAATGAAAAGGCAGGGTACTGTACCTAAACAATCCACCTCATTATTCAAAGCTCAATGTTGCAGCCTACTTTAAGCTTGTATTGATGACTGCCTCTAAAATACAGGAGAGGGTTACTTGTAAACTTTCATATAGGCTGGAGTTTCAGATAAATCTATGGTAGTTTATGGTTTCAGCTTGATGTGAAAGAATAACTGAAAGCATTCCTACCCCTCACCCCTTGCCCCCTGCTTTTTTTGAGACAGGGTCTCATTTTGTCACTCAGGCTGCAGTGCAGTGGCGTGATCATGGCTCACTATACCTCTACCTCCTGGGCTTAGGCAATTCTCCTGCTTCAGCCTCCCAAGTAGCTGGGACCACAGGTGCATGCCACTATGCCCAGCTAATTAAAAAACAAAATTATTTGTAGAGACAGGGTCTTGCCCAGTCTTGAACTCCTGGGTTCAAGTGATCCTCCTGCCTCAGCCACCCAAAGTGTTGGGATTATAGGTGTGAGTCACCACATCTGGCCTGAAATAATTCCAAGACAGTGTTATTTTACAACCTGGCACAAATTCAGTAAAGCTGCCAGAGGTACAAGAGATCGGATAACTAAGGCAGAAAGTAAGTGATAATTTCAAATCTGCCCAAATTTGCAAAGCTGGTTAACAGGCAGCTCCTGAGAAAACATCTGATAGGTCTGTAAACTTGCCTGCCTGCTTACTTGCCTCAGAATTCTCTATGGAGCACTGGTAACACCAGTCAGACCTCAATCAGATGTGTGACTGGGAGAAGGGGAGTATTTGCTAGGCACAGCTAATCCTCAAGCCTCTTTTTAGCAGTTTTAACTCAAATCAAATTTATATGAGTGTTGACAAACACAGCTATACCAATCAGCAAGTTTCACCTTCCCTCTTGCCTTTCTTCATTCTTGGATTGAATTATAAAGAATATTATTCCCTTACCTGAAAGAACAGGTAAGGGAATAGCAGGAAGAGGGAAAATGAAGACAGACAAACAGCTTTAGCCCCTCAAATAATCCTGAGCTCATGCAAGTTACAGCCTAACTTGATCACTCATGACAACTACTGGGTACCATGCCTGCTTACAGCTTATGTCTGTTATCATATTCTTGAAAACAGCATGCTAAAAATGCAACAGGGTTATAATATGCAACCGCTAGGACTATTCTCCAAACATACACATACATACATTAGGGCATCTTTAAAAGAGCAGGAAAACCCTACCATAAAGGAGTTATGACATACAGAAACCAAAATAGCTTCTATTGAAATAAAACTAAGTCCCAAAATACCAGTAATACTTTACATTTGAAAGCCCTTAATGTTTACAGGCAATGTTCTGTCCTTGATCTTTGATCCAAAGGTATTCCCGCCTTTGCTTTTCTTTGTAAATAGAAACTGCAGGGCCCGTGGTATTTTCTTTTCATTTTGGTATCATGCATGAGGAAAGAGGAAGACAAGGATGAGCTATCTCCTAACCACCTGCATGTAGCATCATGAAGACCATGCGCGATCACTGAAAGAGTAGAATCAGGAGCTGGGGAACCTGGGCCCCAGCTGTGCGAGCCTGGCCTGTCACTGGATCTGAGAGCCCCTGTGGGTGGGGATCTTGCCTATTTGTTCACACTGAACCCTGCCCTATAACACAGCCTGGTACAAAGGAGAGCTTCAAAAATGCTTGTTGACTCAAAGACAAAGCAAAGTAACCATCTCACAAGGCTGCGGTAGAAATTATGTATGAAAGATATACCTGATACAAAAAGGGCACTTAATCAATATTAATTTAATCTGAGTGTTAAGGTTAATTTCACTTTTATTTAAAATACATTTGACTTATAGGCCGGGCGCGGTGGCTCAAGCCTGTAATCCCAGCACTTTGGGAGGCCGAGGGGGGTGGATCACGAGGTCAAGAGATCGAGACCATCCTGGTCAACATGGTGAAACCCCGTCTCTACTAAAAATACAAAAAATTAGCTGGGCATGGTGGCACGTGCCTGTAATCCCAG